TCTATTGCTATTACTATAACTTGCCTTTCAAGATAAATGGTCTCTGATTTGATAAAAATACATTTCCCCAAAAAAGTGCCACTTATAGGCCGGTGTAACTTATATGTTCTGTCTTCTTCATTATGCTTTTTTTTTTTTTTTTTGATAGGGAAACACATCCAAAAAGCACATGCCAATGAAATATCACGTGGATCCGGAACGCTATGAAAAAAAGGCTAGAAAGAGAGATTTTTGTCTCGGTCCGGCTGTCATTGTGTTTGGGTCCTGACCGGAGTCCGCCAACTTAGTACCTCCGATGTCGGTGATGTGCCACTTCTGGAATGTTACAAGCTGAAGACCTGTTCTGCAAAATCGGCTTTTATATTTTTCTTCTCACTGACCCTCTCTAAGTTGTATTTGGAGTCATTTGTGCACGTTTGAATCATCTTCATCCTGTATTCAAGATGTCATTGTTCCAACCACCAGCTTGCTTTGTTCTCCCATTTTATTTTCTTAATTGGTGACGCATGTATTCCGCAGCACCACATACTTTTATTTATTTATTTATTTAAATCTGCTATTCTCTAATGTGATGTGCCGCTATCCAAAGGAGGTGCTTACTCTTTGATGTGTTGATGTTTACAACGACATCAGCTCCCGCTGGGTACCACAGGAAGTCAGTGAACTGTGTTTCTTTCATTAAGTTGTTTTAGATCAGGGACATCAAACTCAATTGGACCAGAGGCAGAAGTTATAAAATCAGCATTGGTCAGGGGCCGCATATTATATAATGTATTATATATGAACACCAAACTATCATGCAGCCTTACACAGAAAAATTTGAGTGCAATGTGTAGTCTGATACATTTTATAATAAGGGCCGAATGATATGAGATAACGATATTTGAGAACTATATGTTGTATCGTGAACTATATCATAGCAATATTAAAATTTTTTGACACAATGAGTCAAGCAAAATTAAAATTTACACCAAGACCAAACTGGGTTAAAGGCCTTCATAATAAGTAAACTGAATAAAATCTGCCATTTTTGCGTCCACTTTCAAAAACACTCTTAATTTCTATTCATATGGAGAACTTTGCATTGCATTTTTATTTTTGTGAATACTGATTCCTTGCAATATCAATATGTTTAAGATCAAACCAGCACAAGGCCTTGAGCGAATCTGGCACCAGGGAGCCATACATATAAACCAGAGAGAATAAACTATCAACATTAAATAGGCACTGAGACTGGTTTTTGACTGGTCGTATTTGAAATAAACTTTAAATTAAATATTGGAAATAAAAGTCGAAATCTGTTTTTTGTTTGACACTGAAATGGAATAATGAAATAACAAACTGTTTTCCCATTTTATTGTTCTCATTCTTAATTGAAATTCTAAAGAACGAATGGTACACGGACCGGTATTAAACCTTTCTATCATCATCACAGAGACAAAACCAGACCAAGTTACAGTGTAATTGGATAAATGTACTGTAGAGCTATTTAATGTCATACTGTGGAATATTCGAGGCAGAGCAATGACAAATCCACAGAAACAAGAAGGTCACGGACCACAACCAGAAAAGTTACACAATGCACCTTTAAGTGTCCAAAAACCAGTTCAAATTGCTTGAATAATGCATAATATAGGATCACTTCCTGTATTACATGACAACAGAAGGTAGACCAGAGTCTCAACTCGGCCTGAATGTGCAGGCTTTGTGTGTTAAACATGTGTCAGTCAAACAAAACAACTCCACCTTTTGTTTTTCATGTGGAAACATTAGAACGTACATCAGAAAATACCACAATATAAGCCCTTTCAAGTGGTTCACATTCACAATATCAAATGTGTTACATCATTAGCTCACCACTCATCCCTCCACTACCTACGTTTAGCTCCAAATCAGCCAAAAGCTGCGACACTGATTTCACTCAATGGCCCCACGTAAACTGACAACTGGCTTTAATTCTGGATCTACAGGATCACAGGGGCCACTGTACAGAAGGCTGCTTTTCACTTGACGTTTTATTGCACACATTTTCTAATTCTTACATCTGTTACGCTGTCTTATGTTATTCTGGCTATTTCTCTTTACCTGTGCAAACACCTTCAAACTAGTGCCTCCATTCTTCACTTCTTCAAACATTTTTAAAGGTTCACCAAATCATTCATATAGTACTGAGTTTAAATTTTGCTGATTTTGAAGTGCAACATTATAGGCCTGTTAATTTACATTATATTTTATACACTACCTGCCAAAAGTTTGGGCACACCATCTCATTCAATGTTTTCTTTTCTTTTGTTTTTTTTTTGTCTTTACTTTTACTACTTTCTAGTTTCTACATTTTGTATACACAAAATATATGGAATATGTGAAGTAAGATATATGGAATTATGTAGCAAAGGGAGAAAAAGTTAAATAACTACTTTGTTGACAATTCTAAAATTGCAATCTTTGCTTTAATATGGTGCACTTGCACTCTGCAAAGCTCTGTCTGATTTTGCCTATGAAAAAGTTGATAAAACTGATGACGTTTCCTCACTTATTAGATGTGCAAGTGTAAAAGTGTGTAGTTCAATCATTTATAAGGCCTGAATTGTACTAAAAATAATCTGTAAAGTGCATCAGATTGAATATTGTTACACCCATCTACTCCACTGCCGTAGAGTATGTTCCAGCTGCCCAAATCCAAAATAAACAACTTAAACTTTTTTTTCCATGCAACTTTCTCTGATGGAATTATGTACTCTATTCCTACACCAATGAAATAAGGAAACTAACTGCTGGTTTCCTTCTCATTTGTCTCATATTAATCCGAAAATAAACTCCTAGGCCTGTGTTTGAAAACCAGCGTGAGGCCTGTACTTGCTCTTCAACTCAGAGCACATATGTGATTGACTTGAGTCTGAATCCTCACAGCCAAAAATGTGCAGCTCCTCGCGATTCTGAATATTACACCGAGACATCCACGGAGTGAGATTTCATTCATATAAAAATGTTCTCATATTAAAAGAAGAAACATTTTGAGTGCCGGGTAGGAAAAACGGTTTTATCATCTTTATCGGCAAAAACGTTAATAAGATTTGAAGGCAGAATGACCGTTGTGATTTGAGCATTGTTGACCTACATAACTGTTACGGGTCCGGTCTAGGGGGCAGACCCGCACAGAAGAATGCGTCTGAATAATAGAAAAATAAAGACAGTGAGCAGTGAGCTTTGGTTCTGTGCAGCCTCGCTTCATTGTATATTTATTTACAAAATAAACAAAATTACATTTTAGTCCACATTTATCAATAATTTGGTTTCTTCACAATACATGTTCCAACCTATGTTCTAACCTCACACATACTGTCCAATTACCGAAAAAATGTATATTTACTCAACTACATGTATATATCTGTATATATATATATATATATATATATATATACTATATCTAAACAGTACCTTTTTCTTACTTGACGATTAACTGAATTATTATTCATATTTTTACAGTTCGGCTTACACATTTACTCATTTTACAATCAAAACAACAACCTTAAATTTACCTTTTTTTTTTTTTATCTTAACTGTTAATCAGAAATGATATATATGAACAATACAAATAGTCCGGGATACTACATGCTTATTAAAAAAAAGTTCAAGTTGCGAAGGGGCGCCGCCATTACAAAACCTCATGTTCCTACTGCGGTGAATAGCAGAGCTTTTCACAAACTAACGCGATCTATCTTTATCAAAACCAGTTGTATATAGGCTCTAAACAACCAAAATAAAATACATTTCTCTTGTATGTACACATTCCACATTAGATTACCTGAATAATAGAAAAATAAAGACAGTGAGCAGTGAGCTTTGGCCTCGCTTCATTGTATGAAGAGGAGCGGCACAAAACTTTTCAAGAAGGGCCGTGGCTGGAGACCCGCGACTTACTCACTACACTGCCACCTCCTGGCGCACCCCGGTAATGCAAGAGTATCCTAAAAACTTAACAGAAACGTGAGCAAAACATAACATTTGCAATTTAGTACATTTTATCAATAAGGGAGCTACTTAACAGCACCAACACAAATAGCCAGATTACAAAATAACATAAAAATGTGATATAACATAACTGTTAGTCTATATTTTTTTCTGATGTAATAAGAGTATGCCTTTTGAATTGTTTAAATTAGGCTAATCATTGCTTTATATCTCAAATAATATACTATTTAGCTATTTAGTTACTTACTAGTTCATACACCTGGCTAATTGCACTTAACAGAAGAAAATAAATTAACACAAATAATAAAAAAGATGGATAAATAATTTGAAACATATTAAAGGTCCTATATTGAGCAAAATTGACTCTTGTGAGCTTTAAACCGTGTTAAATGAATGTTGTTACCTCCTCAAAAACATACTTTGACTTGTGTTTTGTTTCATTCACACGTCTGAGTAACCCTTTATTATTAGTCTGTCTACATTTCCAAAGCTCAAACTGCTCTGTTCCACCTTGTGATGTCATGAAGCTATATTTTTCATGTTAACGGCTACCTTTTACCTTTAGTTCACTGGAGAAAGGCAATCCCAGAACTGAAATTATTCAAATGATTCAACTGAAGGCATGTGGAGTTTAAAAACACAATGGAGCAGCTCAACCTAAATATGCAGAGTTTGTGTGTTGAAACCTCTGTGCTTGCATCAGCACACCTGAGACGCTCCGCACTCAGGAGAACAGCTTTATTATGGCTGGTGGAGGAGGAAATCAGTATCTTGATTCAGGATCAGTAGGCCTTTGATAAGAATATTGCAGCTATTACATTTATTACAGTTTGAATATCTTTTGGTGGCATCTGATGGTAGAAATGCAAAAACAACTAGATTATGCATGCAAACATATTTCTTATCTTCAGCTAGAACTAAAATGAAAAAAATAAATAAATACAAGTGGAATAACTGAAGGCAAGTTAAATAGTGTGAATAAATAAGGGTTTATTCAAATACGACATACAAGAGTAAACATTGCTTATGCTGTTGGCTGCGAATGTTCTTATCAGCTTGCTGAGGTCAAGTTTAGGCTGGGGCAGTTGACACGTGACTTAATATCGGACAGAAAGTCTTCATATTCAGACACACAGTTGTATTTCACTAGCAAGGACCACGTCACAACAATGGAATACGGTAAAGATATTTCTTGACGATGGCGAGATGTGATGGCTGGGAGGAGACTAGAGGCTAGAGACTAGAGAGAGAGAGGTACGGGGTGGGAGGGAGAGGGTCGAGAGAGCAGAGACAGACGGTGTTGTTGGGATAGGCCTGTATAAATAGGGCTTTTGGGTAACTGAAGGTGCGGTTGAGCTGAGCTTGGTTTGCTGGAGAGGAGCAGGGGGAGGTTGAGGCTTGGTCCTACTCCTGAATCTAAGAAGACAACAAACCAGAAGTCAATTAAATAGAATACATTTTGTTGTCCACCATGAATGCACTTACAAATGAGTTGTGCGTAAGGACAGTGCATTACAGTACTTACATTATGGTGTTTAAGGAAAATGTTCAGGTTTCCCAGAGCCTTGTGTTCACTGTGTTGTGTAGCATTACGGTGTTGGTAAAGGATGCCATGCGCCGCTCGGACAGGGCACAACCTGTGTGAACGCTGTTGCTCAGCAGAAGTGTGGGAAAGAGGCTGAAAAGTGTCCACATCCACTTAGATACAGGCGTCAGCCAGTTTTGCAATAAAGGCCGAAATGGGGTGCAGGGTCACTATGAGATCATCAGAGCTGAATCGCATACAGAGACAGAGGCACCGAGAAAGCCTGAATATCACTGACACGTTTGGCAGTGGCCTTCCATTTCTGTCCCTGGATATAAGATACGTGGATATAAGCCTCCTTCCTCCCCTCCTCCTCTTCACAGTACTATCTCACTGGAAGAAAAACACACAAATAAATGTACTTGAATAACTTATACTATAAATATAAAAAAACTTACCTGTTGTGAGTTAGTCACACGGCAGTCCCTCCTCAGGACACCAGCCTCCTTCCTGACCCAGCCTGGACCTTGTGTAAAAAACACAAATATTCACTATACTTGGAGGAGGGACAAATACAATCCATAGAACTCACAAGTGTACCTGTATTTTGTACGACAACATGGATATAAGCCTCCTTCCTCCACTCCTCCTCTCCACAGCCCCCACTGTAAAGTTCCATCTCACTGTAAGAAAAAAAGACAAGTAAAGGTACTGTACTTCAATAATTCAATACTATAAACAAAAAACTTACCTCTGCTATATATTCTTTGCTTTTGTTTCCTTCAGTGTTTTCCCTCCCTCCTCTCTTTCTGCAGGATCACACTTGCCTGATGTTGGAAGCTCAAAAGAAAAGAAATAAGTATTATTTTTCCGTAAAGTAATGTGGTAATAATGAATCAGTACTCACCATTTTGTCCAATATCTTTGTCATATAGTCCTGTATTTAAGTCCGAAACGACAGGAAAAATGTGTGCTGTCATTCAGTTGCCACACATGTTGTTTTGGCTCAGTGTTGCTTCGGAGACTGTTGCTCTAGAATACAGGGGACATCAGAGGTGTTTCCTGCAGGCTGGTGGACAGCACACAGGTCCTCATGCAGAATATAGAGCACATAGGCCATGGTGCTTTGTCTCTTGAGCTGGACACACGACCTGAGCCTGGACCTCAGGCAGACTCTGGGAACACAGAAAAAAAACAAAAACAAAACAGAAATATTTAATATACTTAGAGAGACAAATGCAATTCATTGTTGTCGACAATGTACCTGTATTTTGTATAACATGGATAGAAGCCTCCTCCTCTCCACAGCCTGCAGTCTAAAGTTCCATCTCACTGTAAGAAAAAAACGAGAAATAAGTGTACTGTACTTCAACAACTTCATACTGTAAATTTATATAAAAACTTACCTGTACTGTATATTCTTTTTTTGTCACTTTGAGGGGCTGTTACTCGGGGATACAGGGGACATCAGAGGTGTTTCCTGCAGGTTGGTGGACAGCACACGGGTCATCGTGGAGATGCATGGAGAGAACACAGGCCATGGTGCTTTGTCTCTTGAGCTGGACACGCGACAGTCCCACCTCAGGACCTCAGCAGCCCTCCAGACCCAGCCCGGACCTCGGGGAGAACTCTGGAACAAGAGGCTCTGTGCATATCTTGATTTCCCACTGAATCCTCAAATGTCCAAAAGAGCCAGACATACTGTATGATCTTGTGTTCTTTTCACATTGGCTTCTTTGCTTTGACATGTCTCCCATTTCTGTCCCTATGAAAACCAAACGCAAACGTACAATATAGTCGGAGGAGGGACAAATACAATTCATAGTCGTCTCCAGTGTACCTGTATTCTGTATGACAATATGGATTTAAGCCTCCTTCCTCCACTCCTCCTCTCCACAGTCTGCACTGTAAAGGCCCATCTCACTGGAAGAAAAACAGACAAATAAATATATTGTACTTCAATAATTTAATACTATCAGTATAAAAACTTACCTGTACTGTATATTGTTTTTATCACTCCAACATTTTCCTCATCCCTTTTCACGTTTTCCCACTGTTTGTTTTTCCTTTATCCATGGAGAAGGTGCAAGAGCCTAGCTAAGGAGCTTAAAATGAAATCTAAAAATGTTCACACTAAAACACACAGCAAACTATTTACAACATAAAAATTACACCACACAAACCTATTTAAAATGTTCACATTAAAACACAAAGCAAACTATTTACAACATAAAAATTACACCACACAAACCTATTTAAAAAGTGTTCACACCAAACTATTTACAGCATAATAATAATGTTTTTTTGTTTTGTTGTTTGCATTTGCTGGTTAACAAGTGATGCGTCACCCTTAACAGCAAGACTCCAGATCCTCTTCTGTGACTGAAACACAAACAGAAAGCGGATCAGTTCTTAAAATAAAAGGAGTACTTGTGTCTTTGGGGAGTGAATGGCCCCTGTGGCTCACTTGACCTTGTCCTGTCCTTCCAGTCCTTCTTGCGCTCCTGCAGGTAGTCCTCCATCTGCACCACCCAGTCCGGCCTAGGTCCAGGGAACAGGCGGGCAGCGTCCAGCTCCAGCAGCGGGAGAAGAGGGGCAGGGGCAGGAGAAGAGGAGGAAAGCCTCGGAACCTTCGCAGGGCGAGCGGGCTCGGCACAAGCGGGGCGCTTCCGCGACAGAGGAGCACAGTGAGGACGCCTGAAAGCAGAAAGCACAGCGTCAGGGCGAGGGATTATCTGAAGGCCCCTGACGGCAGCAGCGGGCACAGGGCGGTGGGCAGCAGCGGCAGGCGCAGGGCGGCGGGCAGCAGCAGCAGCGGCAGGCACAGGGTGGCGGTGGGCAGCAGCGGCAGGCACAGGGCGGCGGGCAGCAGCAGCGGCGGGCGCAGGGTGGTGGGCAGCAGCAGCGGCGGCGGGCGCAGGGCGGCGGGCAGCGGCGGCGGGCGCAGGGCGGCGGGCAGCGGCGGGTGCAGGGCGGCGGGCAGCAGCGGCGGTGGGCGTAGGACGCACGGCAGCAGCGGGAGCAGCAGGCACAGACCTAGGGGGTAACACAGGGTCACTAAAAACAAAGGAAGAAGGCAGGACAGAAAAGCTGAGCTGAGGAGTAGGAGGAGGCATTGTGGAGGTAGGGGTTTGTAATGTTTGTGTGTCTGTGTCTGTGTGTGTGTCTGTGTGTGTGAGGACTCAGAGCGAGAGCCGGGGTCCTGTGCAGGACGTCTGGACGCCTGATGGATCACCGGGCCAAGGACCACACGGATCTGTGGAGAGGAACAGAATGTGTCAAACACCAGTGCTACCAGAGCTCACATCTTAAAACCAGAGTTGAGAACATAAAGAGTTCAATTAACACTCGACATGGGGCCATATTCAAATTTGGTGTTGCAATTATTATGGCGAAAATAACTGTGATTAATGATTACATCATGATAATTATTCAAGCTGCTGACAGTTAAAACTACTTATATTTACATATTTAAACAACTGTACTTCGTTACAAATAAAAAATATTAAAAGTATTAGTAATAAAGTATTAAAAGTAGTAGACTATATTATGATTAAACTTAGGTAAATATGACTTTAAGCTCTTTTTTGTTTGTTGTATAGACAACTTCTAAGACCCCAACTGATTGGAGATCACTTAAACCAATCTATGAACATACCCATTCATTTGGGGACTATATATTAAGAAATGGTGCATCTTTAATTTAGCTCAACATATGCTTTCATTTGACATGTGAAACTTGTCATGTAAGTTATACCATTTATACTGTCAACCTGTGAAGGAAATTCTATTGAAAATTCAAGACTTGTCAGTATACTTAGTAGAATTTGGGATCTAAATTCTGGGTATGGGCAGATTTTAATTGAACAATACAGTGGACTGTAGGGATTGCGAGGTGATCTTTAAAAAAAGAATTTTAGCCTGAACCATTTGGGAAAAGGCCTGCATGCTTAACTACAATGTTCCAATAAAAGCAGCAGGAGTCTTCCTCTAGTACCTCAATACATGTTTCATTTGCTAAGGTTGCTTTTCTACATGTATCGTCTCACTATAGTCACCCTATTATTAGACTCTAGTTGGAGTCAATGGTCAGTTAAGTGACCGCTGGAACCTAACTCATTCTAGGTGGAATCAGTGGAAAAACCATGACACTACAGCAGATATTTAGGAGATTAGAAGCACAAGAGCTCACATTTCTTGGAATAAATATACCATAAACATGACCTAGACATTGATAAAGGGGCATCTGCTGAGCTAATGATTGCTTTTTCAGTAACACGATGAAAACCCGTAAGAAATTGACAAACCTCACGTATTCCTCAGAAACGTCTCGTAATCCGATGCAGAAGGTTGTCAGCCAAAGTCTGGGTGAAATTCTGTCGGACTTGTGCCTCTTCTTTTCAGAAATCCTCGATTTAAGTTGTCAGATACAAGTTTTCGATCACAGCCAAGGTTTGCAAAGTTTGCAAGAGAGCGCGTATCACTCAAAAGATGCACTTAGCAACAGCAGCGCCGTGCGTGCGTGCTGACGGCACAACCCTTACGTACAACGCTTACGTACATCTGTGCAGTGCGTGCGTCTTCTTCTACTCAATTACAAACTCCAAAGGTCCACTTAGCACAAGGCACGGAGTATGTCCAAACTTAAAACTTCTAACAAAAAATGTAGTGAATCCACACGGAACAATTGAACTATGCGCAAAGTACTAAATACACTACTAGATAGATAAATACACTAGCTAGATGGCTACTTTAGCAAAGCTAAGCTAAGGGCGCTCTGCTCCCGTTCCTCCTGTACCACTGTCACTGCGCTGGTCTCTCTGCAGAGCCGCTCTTCTGTCTGGATCATGTCAATCGATCGCACCAATACTTCTGCCCCACTGAACATTTAAAACAGTAATCGCACAGCAGAAATAAAGTTTGGAGTGAGCGAGAAACCTGTGAGGGACTGGCTAAAGACAGCTTCACAGTAACCGGGAGGATGCGCCATGCAATTTTCCTGGAAGTCATTGGATGGATCGATAAAGCCTGGACTTCACTGACAGCCGAAACCATCCTGTCGGGATTCAGAAAGGCTGGAATAATTCTAACTGGAACTGATGCTGAGTCTGACGACAGCTACACAGAAGAGGAAGCGGCCCCCGTTTACCCATTGATCTATTAAAATAATTTACCTCTGGACGTTGCAGAGTTGCTCAGAAGTGACACCAAGGGTGAAAAATTCAGTGCATTTAGGTAAACTATGTTGTTTATGCTATGGCTATCTGAATAACTTAATATCTTACGTTAATGGCCTGTTGTTCTCTATTCTATTGCTATTACTATAACTTGCCTTTCAAGATAAATGGTCTCTGATTTGATAAAATACATTTCCCCAAAAAAGTGCCACTTATAGGCCGGTGTAACTTATATGTTCTGTCTTCTTCATTATGCTTTTTTTTTTTTTTTTTGATAGGGAAACACATCCAAAAAGCACATGCCAATGAAATATCACGTGGATCCGGAACGCTATGAAAAAAAGGCTAGAAAGAGAGATTTTTGTCTCGGTCCGGCTGTCATTGTGTTTGGGTCCTGACCGGAGTCCGCCAACTTAGTACCTCCGATGTCGGTGATGTGCCACTTCTGGAATGTTACAAGCTGAAGACCTGTTCTGCAAAATCGGCTTTTATATTTTTCTTCTCACTGACCCTCTCTAAGTTGTATTTGGAGTCATTTGTGCACGTTTGAATCATCTTCATCCTGTATTCAAGATGTCATTGTTCCAACCACCAGCTTGCTTTGTTCTCCCATTTTATTTTCTTAATTGGTGACGCATGTATTCCGCAGCACCACATACTTTTATTTATTTATTTATTTAAATCTGCTATTCTCTAATGTGATGTGCCGCTATCCAAAGGAGGTGCTTACTCTTTGATGTGTTGATGTTTACAACGACATCAGCTCCCGCTGGGTACCACAGGAAGTCAGTGAACTGTGTTTCTTTCATTAAGTTGTTTTAGATCAGGGACATCAAACTCAATTGGACCAGAGGCAGAAGTTATAAAATCAGCATTGGTCAGGGGCCGCATATTATATAATGTATTATATATGAACACCAAACTATCATGCAGCCTTACACAGAAAAATTTGAGTGCAATGTGTAGTCTGATACATTTTATAATAAGGGCCGAATGATATGAGATAACGATATTTGAGAACTATATGTTGTATCGTGAACTATATCATAGCAATATTAAAATTTTTTGACACAATGAGTCAAGCAAAATTAAAATTTACACCAAGACCAAACTGGGTTAAAGGCCTTCATAATAAGTAAACTGAATAAAATCTGCCATTTTTGCATCCACTTTCAAAAACACTCTTAATTTCTATTCATATGGAGAACTTTGCATTGCATTTTTATTTTTGTGAATACTGATTCCTTGCAATATCAATATGTTTAAGATCAAACCAGCACAAGGCCTTGAGCGAATCTGGCACCAGGGAGCCATACATATAAACCAGAGAGAATAAACTATCAACATTAAATAGGCACTGAGACTGGTTTTTGACTGGTCGTATTTGAAATAAACTTTAAATTAAATATTGGAAATAAAAGTCGAAATCTGTTTTTTGTTTGACACTGAAATGGAATAATGAAATAACAAACTGTTTTCCCATTTTATTGTTCTCATTCTTAATTGAAATTCTAAAGAACGAATGGTACACGGACCGGTATTAAACCTTTCTATCATCACAGAGACAAAACCAGACCAAGTTACAGTGTAATTGGATAAATGTACTGTAGAGCTATTTAATGTCATACTGTGGAATATTCGAGGCAGAGCAATGACAAATCCACAGAAACAAGAAGGTCACGGACCACAACCAGAAAAGTTACACAATGCACCTTTAAGTGTCCAAAAACCAGTTCAAATTGCTTGAATAATGCATAATATAGGATCACTTCCTGTATTACATGACAACAGAAGGTAGACCAGAGTCTCAACTCGGCCTGAATGTGCAGGCTTTGTGTGTTAAACATGTGTCAGTCAAACAAAACAACTCCACCTTTTGTTTTTCATGTGGAAACATTAGAACGTACATCAGAAAATACCACAATATAAGCCCTTTCAAGTGGTTCACATTCACAATATCAAATGTGTTACATCATTAGCTCACCACTCATCCCTCCACTACCTACGTTTAGCTCCAAATCAGCCAAAAGCTGCGACACTGATTTCACTCAATGGCCCCACGTAAACTGACAACTGGCTTTAATTCTGGATCTACAGGATCACAGGGGCCACTGTACAGAAGGCTGCTTTTCACTTGACGTTTTATTGCACACATTTTCTAATTCTTACATCTGTTACGCTGTCTTATGTTATTCTGGCTATTTCTCTTTACCTGTGCAAACACCTTCAAACTAGTGCCTCCATTCTTCACTTCTTCAAACATTTTTAAAGGTTCACCAAATCATTCATATAGTACTGAGTTTAAATTTTGCTGATTTTGAAGTGCAACATTATAGGCCTGTTAATTTACATTATATTTTATACACTACCTGCCAAAAGTTTGGGCACACCATCTCATTCAATGTTTTCTTTTCTTTTGTTTTTTTTTGTCTTTACTTTTACTACTTTCTAGTTTCTACATTTTGTATACACAAAATATATGGAATATGTGAAGTAAGATATATGGAATTATGTAGCAAAGGGAGAAAAAGTTAAATAACTACTTTGTTGACAATTCTAAAATTGCAATCTTTGCTTTAATATGGTGCACTTGCACTCTGCAAAGCTCTGTCTGATTTTGCCTATGAAAAAGTTGATAAAACTGATGACGTTTCCTCACTTATTAGATGTGCAAGTGTAAAAGTGTGTAGTTCAATCATTTATAAGGCCTGAATTGTACTAAAAATAATCTGTAAAGTGCATCAGATTGAATATTGTTACACCCATCTACTCCACTGCCGTAGAGTATGTTCCAGCTGCCCAAATCCAAAATAAACAACTTAAACTTTTTTTTCCATGCAACTTTCTCTGATGGAATTATGTACTCTATTCCTACACCAATGAAATAAGGAAACTAACTGCTGGTTTCCTTCTCATTTGTCTCATATTAATCCGAAAATAAACTCCTAGGCCTGTGTTTGAAAACCAGCGTGAGGCCTGTACTTGCTCTTCAACTCAGAGCACATATGTGATTGACTTGAGTCTGAATCCTCACAGCCAAAAATGTGCAGCTCCTCGCGATTCTGAATATTACACCGAGACATCCACGGAGTGAGATTTCATTCATATAAAAATGTTCTCATATTAAAAGAAGAAACATTTTGAGTGCCGGGTAGGAAAAACGGTTTTATCATCTTTATCGGCAAAAACGTTAATAAGATTTGAAGGCAGAATGACCGTTGTGATTTGAGCATTGTTGACCTACATAACTGTTACGGGTCCGGTCTAGGGGGCAGACCCGCACAGAAGAATGCGTCTGAATAATAGAAAAATAAAGACAGTGAGCAGTGAGCTTTGGTTCTGTGCAGCCTCGCTTCATTGTATATTTATTTACAAAATAAACAAAATTACATTTTAGTCCACATTTATCAATAATTTGGTTTCTTCACAATACATGTTCCAACCTATGTTCTAACCTCACACATACTGTCCAATTACCGAAAAAATGTATATTTACTCAACTACATGTATATATCTGTATATCTAAACAGTACCTTTTTCTTACTTGACGATTAACTGAATTATTATTCATATTTTTACAGTTCGGCTTACACATTTACTCATTTTACAATCAAAACAACAACCTTAAATTTACCTTTTTTTTTTTTTATCTTAACTGTTAATCAGAAATGATATATATGAAGAACAATACAAATAGTCCGGGATACTACATGCTTATTAAAAAAAAGTTCAAGTTGCGAAGGGGCGCCGCCATTACAAAACCTCATGTTCCTACTGCGGTGAATAGCAGAGCTTTTCACAAACTAACGCGATCTATCTTTATCAAAACCAGTTGTATATAGGCTCTAAACAACCAAAATAAAATACATTTCTCTTGTATGTACACATTCCACATTAGATTACCTGAATAATAGAAAAATAAAGACAGTGAGCAGTGAGCTTTGGCCTCGCTTCATTGTATGAAGAGGAGCGGCACAAAACTTTTCAAGAAGGGCCGTGGCTGGAGACCCGCGACTTACTCACTACACTGCCACCTCCTGGCGCACCCCGGTAATGCAAGAGTATCCTAAAAACTTAACAGAAACGTGAGCAAAACATAACATTTGCAATTTAGTACATTTTATCAATAAGGGAGCTACTTAACAGCACCAACACAAATAGCCAGATTACAAAATAACATAAAAATGTGATATAACATAACTGTTAGTCTATATTTTTTTCTGATGTAATAAGAGTATGCCTTTTGAATTGTTTAAATTAGGCTAATCATTGCTTTATATCTCAAATAATATACTATTTAGCTATTTAGTTACTTACTAGTTCATACACCTGGCTAATTGCACTTAACAGAAGAAAATAAATTAACACAAATAATAAAAAAGATGGATAAATAATTTGAAACATATTAAAGGTCCTATATTGAGCAAAATTGACTCTTGTGAGCTTTAAACCGTGTTAAATGAATGTTGTTACCTCCTCAAAAACATACTTTGACTTGTGTTTTTGTTTCATTCACACGTCTGAGTAACCCTTTATTATTAGTCTGTCTACATTTCCAAAGCTCAAACTGCTCTGTTCCACCTTGTGATGTCATGAAGCTATATTTTTCATGTTAACGGCTACCTTTTACCTTTAGTTCACTGGAGAAAGGCAATCCCAGAACTGAAATTATTCAAATGATTCAACTGAAGGCATGTGGAGTTTAAAAAACACAATGGAGCAGCTCAACCTAAATATGCAGAGTTTGTGTGTTGAAACCTCTGTGCTTGCATCAGCACACCTACCTGAGAGACGCTCCGCACTCAGGAGAACAGCTTTATTATGGCTGGTGGAGGAGGAAATCAGTATCTTGATTCAGGATCAGTAGGCCTTTGATAAGAATATTGCAGCTATTACATTTATTACAGTTTGAATATCTTTTGGTGGCATCTGATGGTAGAAATGCAAAAACAACTAGATTATGCATGCAAACATATTTCTTATCTTCAGCTAGAACTAAAATGAAAAAAATAAATAAATACAAGTGGAATAACTGAAGGCAAGTTAAATAGTGTGAATAAATAAGGGTTTATTCAAATACGACATACAAGAGTAAACATTGCTTATGCTGTTGGCTGCGAATGTTCTTATCAGCTTGCTGAGGTCAAGTTTAGGCTGGGGCAGTTGACACGTGACTTAATATCGGACAGAAAGTCTTCATATTCAGACACACAGTTGTATTTCACTAGCAAGGACCACGTCACAACAATGGAATACGGTAAAGATATTTCTTGACGATGGCGAGATGTGATGGCTGGGAGGAGACTAGAGGCTAGAGACTAGAGAGAGAGAGGTACGGGGTGGGAGGGAGAGGGTCGAGAGAGCAGAGACAGACGGTGTTGTTGGGATAGGCCTGTATAAATAGGGCTTTTGGGTAACTGAAGGTGCGGTTGAGCTGAGCTTGGTTTGCTGGAGAGGAGCAGGGGGAGGTTGAGGCTTGGTCCTACTCCTGAATCTAAGAAGACAACAAACCAGAAGTCAATTAAATAGAATACATTTTGTTGTCCACCATGAATGCACTTACAAATGAGTTGTGCGTAAGGACAGTGCATTACAGTACTTACATTATGGTGTTTAAGGAAAATGTTCAGGTTTCCCAGAGCCTTGTGTTCACTGTGTTGTGTAGCATTACGGTGTTGGTAAAGGATGCCATGCGCCGCTCGGACAGGGCACAACCTGTGTGAACGCTGTTGCTCAGCAGAAGTGTGGGAAAGAGGCTGAAAAGTGTCCACATCCACTTAGATACAGGCGTCAGCCAGTTTTGCAATAAAGGCCGAAATGGGGTGCAGGGTCACTATGAGATCATCAGAGCTGAATCGCATACAGAGACAGAGGCACCGAGAAAGCCTGAATATCACTGACACGTTTGGCAGTGGCCTTCCATTTCTGTCCCTGGATATAAGATACGTGGATATAAGCCTCCTTCCTCCCCTCCTCCTCTTCACAGTACTATCTCACTGGAAGAAAACACACAAAATAAATGTACTTGAATAACTTATACTATAAATATAAAAAACTTACCTGTTGTGAGTTAGTCACACGGCAGTCCCTCCTCAGGACACCAGCCTCCTTCCTGACCCAGCCTGGACCTTGTGTAAAAAACACAAATATTCACTATACTTGGAGGAGGGACAAATACAATCCATAGAACTCACAAGTGTACCTGTATTTTGTACGACAACATGGATATAAGCCTCCTTCCTCCACTCCTCCTCTCCACAGCCCCCACTGTAAAGTTCCATCTCACTGTAAGAAAAAAAGACAAGTAAAGGTACTGTACTTCAATAATTCAATACTATAAACAAAAAACTTACCTCTGCTATATATTCTTTGCTTTTGTTTCCTTCAGTGTTTTCCCTCCCTCCTCTCTTTCTGCAGGATCACACTTGCCTGATGTTGGAAGCTCAAAAGAAAAGAAATAAGTATTATTTTTCCGTAAAGTAATGTGGTAATAATGAATCAGTACTCACCATTTTGTCCAATATCTTTGTCATATAGTCCTGTATTTAAGTCCGAAACGACAGGAAAAATGTGTGCTGTCATTCAGTTGCCACACATGTTGTTTTGGCTCAGTGTTGCTTCGGAGACTGTTGCTCTAGAATACAGGGGACATCAGAGGTGTTTCCTGCAGGCTGGTGGACAGCACACACACACAGGTCCTCATGCAGAATATAGAGCACATAGGCCATGGTGCTTTGTCTCTTGAGCTGGACACACGACCTGAGCCTGGACCTCAGGCAGACTCTGGGAACACAGAAAAAAAAACAAAAAACAAAAACAGAAATATTTAATATACTTAGAGAGACAAATGCAATTCATTGTTGTCGACAATGTACCTGTATTTTGTATAACATGGATAGAAGCCTCCTCCCTCTCCACAGCCTGCAGTCTAAAGTTCCATCTCACTGTAAGAAAAAAACGAGAAATAAGTGTACTGTACTTCAACAACTTCATACTGTAAATTTATATAAAAACTTACCTGTACTGTATATTCTTTTTTTGTCACTTTGAGGGGCTGTTACTCGGGGATACAGGGGACATCAGAGGTGTTTCCTGCAGGTTGGTGGACAGCACACACGGGTCATCGTGGAGATGCATGGAGAGAACACAGGCCATGGTGCTTTGTCTCTTGAGCTGGACACGCGACAGTCCCACCTCAGGACCTCAGCAGCCCTCCAGACCCAGCCCGGACCTCGGGGAGAACTCTGGAACAAGAGGCTCCTGTGCATATCTTGATTTCCCACTGAATCCTCAAATGTCCAAAAGAGCCAGACATACTGTATGATCTTGTGTTCTTTTCACATTGGCTTCTTTGCTTTGACATGTCTCCCATTTCTGTC